AGCCCCTCAGCGCCATCTTTGGGTTCTTTAACAATGATATCATCAGTAGTAGTAGTCGTCGTCGTGGTGGTGGTGGTCGTCGTAGTAGTAGTGGGAGTAGTAGTAGTAGTAGTAGTAGTAGTAGTAGTAGGAGGTATTGTTGTTGTAGTGGGGGCAGTAGTAGGAGTAGCAGCTGCAGCAGCAGTGGCAGCAGCACCAGTACCAACACAAACGCATACTGCGTACTACTATGTCCATCACACCAGTTGCAATGACAACGATAGTAAAAACAGAAATGGAAATGCTCCTCTTCATCGACGCCATGGTCGTAGCATTGTCTTTCGAACTTCTACCACTACTATTTATCGTTGCTGTCATTGTTCACTAACTGCAATCTTTGTTCTTTCCGTTGTAGCAATGCTAGGAGCTCTCCTACATGCAGGTTGTCTATGTATAAAACGATAGACATGTGTATATTGCATACATATATACATATATATATATATATATATCTAACATACATACTGCGTCCTGTGCGACAAGCTGCAGCGGGAAGCGTGAAGAGTGCTGGAGGTGCTGCCATATGTTGTCTCTGTAAAGAAACAGACATACCGCACGCCATCATATTCCACCACTGTTCGCTGACATGCCTTGCAGGCGAAAAGCCAAGCCGAGACTTGACAGTGAGGTCTGAGCTACAACGTAATAAAAGCGACGCCATGATCATGAAGATAGGCGTCTTCTTTGTCAGCTGCTTTCGGGCATGACAAGGCCACATCAAAGTCGCTGCAGTCAACCAGCTCCTTGACCTCACCACTAATTTCATATCTCATTTCGAACGCAGTCATTGAACCTCACATCAACATAAGTCGCCACAGAAGCTCTTGTGACCAGGCACATCTTTAACTGGCAGGATAGCTTGCTGTCCGTTTCCTTGGCAAACTCAAATTGAAAAAACGCAACAGGACGAGGGGCATTCATTTCTTCGACAGTGGCGCGTTTGCAAACAATGATCAGTCTTGCAAATCCCTACATCTGAAGCCAGGGGCGCGTCTTGACAGGGCACGGGAGAAAAAGCACGCAGCTTGCTACATTCCAGAACCCTACATGCCTCGTGCGTGATTGCCCCATTGGCCCCCGTGTTCCAAAAAACTTGCGAACGCTGCACACCGATTTCGCGTCAACTGCAGACCCCATACCTTGGAACGATAACCCTCTGCTGCGCCTTCGAACAAAACACTGAGCACAAATGCCGACATCTGAAGACTCCCTAGCTAACCACATGACTTGGGGTTTTCCGGAGGCCGAGGCCGAGACTCCAAAGCGATGCTCAAACGCAAAACAGCATGCAACAGCCATGATTGCACAAAGCTTCTCAAAAGCTCGACGGTCCGCGCTCCCAGCGATGAGCCCGACTGGCTCACACCAACAACACCGTCTTGCTTTTGAATCAGCATGTCGTAGACATCAGTTGTACCTGGCATTGGCTGCAAACGCTGGAGTTGCTGCAAACCTGCTAAGTCGCTCGGAGCACCGTAGTCTCCAATCCCATCGCATTTGAAGATGCAGGCGACCAGAACTGCCAATGACAGCATTCCATTGGTGTGTGTATCTGGCAGACTTCCGGCTAAGGCTCCGCTGAAAACAGAGCCAAACTGCTACAGTAAGGCAAAAATGCAAGGCGAGAAGAGTCGCTACCTTGCTCTCCGTTTCCCGCTCTGTGAGACAAGCCTTGCAATTCAATTTTGTCCGACTTGCTCCCTGCTCCGTGCTGCGAAGCGACAAGACGCCCCGGCCGGGCCGTTCTGTATTCCAATCCAAACGGAGACTGCTACACAGATTGTGTGCTTCCGACTTCCCGAGAACGCGTGCTAGTGTCCTCAGACTGATAAAGTTTGGCCGCACCGTGTTGTCAACCATCGATCTCAGCATCTCTTCAGCTGCCCTGCAATCTTTGGGCCGTGCCTCCCCACAAGCTTTAAAAAAGAGATTGTACATGACCAGGCCGAGTTCACCTCCAGTCTCACGAAACCTCTGTTGCCAAAACCTCACACCATCAACATCTCCAATAGAGGCTCGCCCTTCCATGAGGATACCAAACGTGACCTCACTGGGCCTGCAGCGTTGGGACATGCTGAGGAAGAGCTCCTCTGCCTTCCGGACCTCACGTGCTTTTGCATAGGATTTCATCAGGGTGTTGTACTCGATCTGCTGCGGTTCACCCATTCTGTTCGCCGCTGCCCACCACCATTCCGCTCTTGCAACATCGCCAGCAGTCGCCGATGCATCCATCAACATCCTCAATGTGCGGCGTTCGACTCGCAATCCTGCCTTCACCATTCGTCCGTACCAGGCTTCGGCTGAGCGCACATCTCCAGATCTGGCTGCGACATGAATCAAGCTGCCGTAGGTCTTCGCGCTGGGCGTGACAGAAAAGGCCAGCATTTCGTGAACGACAGATTCAGCTTTGGATACTGCATCTGTCCCCGTCCCAGCAAATGCAGAAATAACAGAATTGTAGCTGATCACATCTGCACGGATGCTGTTGGCTCCCATATCCTTAAGCCAATGCACAGCCGCATCTGCCTGTTGACAGCGCGCTTGCGCGTTTAGAAGGGCATTGTAGCAAGGCTGATTGGGATGGACATCTGCAGCCTTCGCCTCAGTAAACCAAGCCATGGCCAAGTCTGCAGCATCCGCTTCGGCGCAGGAAGCAATCACAGCTGAATAAACATAGGTGTTAGTTTCAAGCCTGTTGGCATCCATAATTGCAAGGAGCTCGCTTGCAACTGCCAGGTCCCTTTCCGCACGGATGGCAACAACAAAGGTTTGTGCATCTGGCACGAGCCTGCGATCAAGCATCTTACCTATCCAGGGGACTGCATCAACGCGTCCATGCTGCGCCTTTTCTGTAATGAACACAGATAAGGCCTGCTGAGTGTCAAGCCCGTGGGCAATGCTCAAGTCCACTAACTTTTCCGCCAGCGATATTTGATCACGTTCGAAGCATGTGCAAATGAGACTGCGCAGAATGTGAGGTCGCTCCTTCAATCGCTTTAACGACGGCACATCATACATGTCTTTGATACCTTCCATTGGGCGATCTGCGGGATCGGGCCCAGTCTGTCTCACCTGGCCCAGTGTCGGCTTCAAACCGAAAGATGCCATTTTCTGATACCAGCGAGCCGCCTTAGATTCCATGCCTGCCTTGGAATAAATCTCCGCAATACGTGAAAAGACACTTTCACCCTCCATGGCGTCCTTGGCCCTCAATATACTTCGTTCTGCGCGCGGCCGTAGCATCTTTCTACCAGCGCAGAAGGTCGTCAGCGCAATGAAAGACATGCTTCGGAGAGCAACGAACCGGCCGAGATGATTGCTCCCCACCGAAACTCCTTGTCTCATTGCCTTACATTTTGCACCAGCTTGGGAGGCACATCCTTCCTGTCTGTACAACGTTGCGCGCGTAGCTTGAAGTGTAGCGCAGGCCGCCATTGCAGGAGCTTATGCCAATCCCTTGAGCGTGAAGAAGAATCGATCCAAGCGACCGCAAGGTTCTCGCTCATGCAGACTCGCACATCGAAGCCTGTGAACCCTCGACACAACATCACGCCTGACCAAGAGATTCTGTTTGACGGAAAAGATCCCAGGTGAGTGGATCTACAAAGCTACTTGCCGTGTACTGTCTGTTGCAGACACGAACCTCTACTTGCCGCAGCCCTGTCTTAGGGCGTCAGCGAGTCACCTTGCTGCAGGCTGGAAGCACACGCCAAGATATAGCCTTCTGAGAAAATGAATTCAACCGAAGCACAGACTAAGCCAAAAGCATCCCCGAAAGATCAAGAACACCCCCTCAAGCCAAACGAAGAAACATGGTCGATGCAATTTAGCAAAGAAGCTCGCATCAGCTTTCGCTGGGATGCCACAGGAATGCGGACAGCGTGCGTCAAAAGAGTCCAATCTGCCGAAGTATGATCACAAGAACCAGGAAGACGATCATCGCAACGAACACGGGAATGAACCTTCACGAAGCAAAACTGGAGAGTTAGGCATGCAAAGTACGCCGAGCCACCCAGATAGTCGATTTTTGTATGCAGCAGAGGTGCTTCTTCCAGAGCCCAAAGTCTGGCCATGCCAAGCCTTAACATCAAGAGACAAATTCACAAAAGAAGCGGGCAGAATGCGCAGAGATGCACATGCACCACCTGTACATGATCATACCACTTGCAGCCGCAGCACCCAAGGCTGACAAATAAGTGCCCCAATCTCTGCCTGCATTGGAAAGCCCGCAAGTCCGCAGCACTTTTGCACAGAGTTCCATGTATTCTCTTTGGCACTTAATCCACCGGCCTTCTGTGGGCGTCAGTAGCTGTGGGTCTTCATTGGGTTCTTCTCGAGCAATGCCGACTCGTCGACCCTGCGCCTCGACAGAAGACATTCGTACACCGTCCAATCATGAGATGTTTGGAGATGTGCCTCTGCTTGCGTAAGGACCTTCACTCGCAGGCAGATGGCTTTCCACACAAGCACATGCCCCATGCGAGTTGAGGGGAGGACATACATGGTCATGTTCACGGAGCCCACATCTTCCTCCATGGCTCAACGCGAAGGAAAGCTCTTGTGGCGCTCCCGGCCCCGGCCACTGCCCCGGCCTGCTCGCCATCGTAAAAGGTGATGTCGCTTGGACCGATCGTCAGGGCGTCTGAGTCTCGTGCAACCCTGCCGAAGGCAGAATAAAGAGAGCCGCGGCAGTGAAGGCACAACAGATCGCCTTTCCAAGTACTTGCCCAGGTCGAGGTCGAAGCTTCCGAGAAACGTGCCTCCCATCAGCCTTGCAGTCGATTGCACTAGTGTTCAAGCTTTTTTGCTTTCTCTAGTGGCCAGCACAGCACGGTGCGAGTCTGGTCCTTTTCATTTATGCCGCATCACGACCGAAGAGCAAGACGCAGGCAAGGCGCTCATGATGATGCAAGCTGACGGTCATGGTACAAGACCAGGAAGGCATCTTAATTCGCGGGTAGACCTGGGCTGTTCCAGCAGACGTAAAGAGTTTACGAAGAATCTAGCTCAGTGTCGGTTGAATTTTGGTCAAGGCACCATTCGCCAGTTGAAGACGGCTTTGCCATCCACAGAATTGAAGTGGACCTTGGCAGTCCCAGGTGAGCTGCATTCCCATGAATACTCGCCGGACCACATTCCGGAAAGGCGCGTCAGTCTGTTGTAAAGCATCATATTCGCCACCATATTCTTTGCAGTCGAGCTGTGTGTGTATTTGCACATTTGTGGAATCACCACTCCTTGCGACACACCACTCCAGGCTTGCTTGCAACACCTCTCAAGTTTGCTCCTCCGAGCCAAGTTGCATCAGCTTCACACCGCTCGCTGTCCAAATAACTAATCGGACTTCCAGCCTGACAGTTGCAAGGTCCGGCCATGTCGAAAATGCGAAGACGAGGCATGTGGAACTTTCAGGCTAGCAGCTCGGTTGTGGGTGGCTTGCTGAGAGTCGATGGTTTGACGGCAGCTGCATCAGATGATTCAATCATCTCCACCCACCTAAGTGCGCACGACAGACGCAGGTTATGCGGTCCTACTGATCTTGCAGGCTTTGCCTCTCCAACAGTAAGGCTGGTGCATCTCCAGGCTTCCCCGATTTCTGCCAGGAAATTCCGGGCTGTGGAGGGATCGATTCTCCGTGGGCAGCATTTGCTTCCTGCAGACGCTCGCTAATTCTTGGTGGCGATTCTGATTATTGGCTCAATCTGGTCCTGTTGCCACTTTGCCACAAGCTTGAATGCCATCTATCTTCCAGATCTATGACCGTGCCTGGGCTGGTCCACAGTGCGACCACAGGACTTGAAGGTGCCTAGAGTCGAGAGCGTGAAACACATCGGCCATGCCCGGCCGATGTCACAGTCTCGACTTGTGAAGCTTTATTACTTCGCTGCTTGAAATTTTGTAAGTTGTAGGAGAACGCTAGTCCGCTGCTGAATCGGGATGGCCTGACTCCGGAACCCAAAGTTGTGACTCGCGAGTGCATGGTCCGAAGAAGGCCGAGGCTTGATCCGGATCCCAGAATCTCGCCCTCTACGAATAGCTGAATATGAATCCATAACCAGAACCCGGGAGAAGGGTCTCACTCTTGCACGTGAGCTCTCCGAGACGGGGTGGTATAAGTGTTTCGTGCACCGCCCAATGGTCAACATTCCAAAAAACAAGACATCGAACCCAATCAGATTGGAAAGCAAGAACTATGGAACAACTCCGATCCCAATATCTTGGGCCATGTCGTTTGAAGCTTTCAATGTCAGAATTTGCCACGAGCATGCGAGTGATCGCCCTAGCATCGAAAGAAGGTTGTCAAGCGTGCTGTGAGTCATGTCGGCAATCAACAAATCTATTAGTCGAATCGCCGCCAATGACCGAATCCTGCAGAGCAAGCTCTTCCAGGGATTTGATGGTTACCTGCCCAGCACGCACACGCAAAGCTTTGCAAGCAGAGTTGTGTCAGGCTTGATTTCCACTTTTAGAAACTTGTCGCAGCCTCCAGTCGCCAGTCTTCCGGAAGCGAGACGTCTCTGGCTTCGACACGGTG